CCCCGGATCCTCTGGCTGCCAGGTCACCACGGAGGGGCCCTGAGCGAGCCCTTGTCACTTCTGCACGGGCGCCCCAGGGAGAAGGGCGCACATGGAACGAGGTGGACAGTTCCTGGAGAGCAGTAGCTTAAGAGCCTTTGGCCTTCAAGAGGTTTAGTCCGAGGAGCCGAGGTTAGCCCCTGCAGCGCTGGTCTCTAAGGTTCCTGGGATAACCCCAGGTCTCACTTGTCTTTTCAACAGTGTCAGCTGGCCTGAGGTGTAAAGAATCCTCCAAGTGGTTTGTTTCTGTGCCAAAAATTGATGTCTCGGTTCATGTTGAGCCATGTGGTTCCCAAGCTTGTGGATTACCCCTGGGATCAGAGGTTGTCTTGGGGACAGCCACATGGCTGAAGAGATAGAAAAGCAGTAGTTAATATTTACTGAATTATGTGTACTGTGCACTTGACAGATGTCTCATCAAATTTTCACAATAACTCTATTAGGTAAGGACTATTATTATTATTTTTTTTTGAGGAAGATTAGCCCTGAGCTAACATCTGCTGCCAATTCCCCTCTTTTTGCTGAGGAAGACTGGCCCTGAGCTAACATTCATGCCCATCTTCCTCTACTTTATATGTGGGACGCCTACCACAGCATGGCTTGCCAAGCGGTGCCATGTGCACACCCGGGATCCAAACCGGCGAACCCCGGGCCGCTGAAGTGGAATGTTCGCACCTAACCGCTGCACCACCAGGCCGGCCGCAGGACAACTATTTTTTTTTACAAGTGATTAAACTCAAGCCCAGAGAGGTAAAGTAACTGACCAGAGATCACACAGCCCGGATTCAAACCTAAGGCTTCTAGTCCCAGGCAGGCTTCTAACTGGGCCTTAAAGGATGGAGAGAAATTTATCCCCAACAGTTAACTATAAAAAATAGTAAACATACAGAAGAGTTGAAAGAATTTTGTAGTAAATACTCATATACCCACCATTACCCATAATGTGTTTTTTTGCGCTTTTTTCTGCTATATTTTGCTATGTTTATTTGTGCTTTATTACATATCTATCTATCCCTCTGCCTATCCATGACTCTGTCTTATTTCTTTTTATGCATTTCAAAGAAAGTTCCAGATGCCCCCTGAATATGTTAGCATACATATCATTAATTAGAGTACGGTATTTACTTACGGTTCTTTTTTACTGTTTTGGCGTAAAATTTACATATGATATAATGTAAATACGCATCTCTAAGTGTACCATTTGAACTTCATTTAACGGATTCACATAGTATGTATTTTTTGCATCCAGCTACTTTCACACAGCGTGTTTCTGAGTTTCCTCCATGTGGCTGGTGTAATTCCTTTTGATTGCTGACTGCCATTCCATGATGTCTGTCTGTCCGTTCTCCTATTGATGGCCGCCTGGACCAGTTTTGCACTAGTGTGAGGAAAGAGCTGCTATGCGCGTTCCTGTGCAGGCCTTTCTTGCAGACACACACTTTCATTCTCTGGGGTGTTTACCAAGTGGAACGGCTGGGCCCCAGGACAGGTGTACATTTAGGTTTATAAAAAACTGCCTTTTTCCAGAGCGGTCGGACCAGTGCACATTCTCATCCACTATGCGTGTGAGTCCTGGCTGATTCCCATGCTCCCAGCACGTGATGTTGTCAGTGTTTGTAATTTTAGCCCTTCTGGTGGTTGTGTCGTGGCGTCTCATTGTGGTTTTAATTTGCATTTCCCTCATGACTAACGATGTCAAGCGATTTTTCACCTGCTTGTTGGCCCTTTGTGTCTCTTCTTCTCTGAGATATCGTCAGATCTTTCGCCTGTTTTAAAAATTAATTTTCTTATTCCCTGTTAGACGTGTGCTTTGCAAATGTTTTCTCCCAGCCTGGGATTTGAGTATTCATTTTCTTCACGAGCTGTTTGAAGTTTAAGGGTTGATGCACCTGGTGGTTCCATCTTTTCCTTGGTGGGTCTTGCTTTCTCTGTCTGGTCCGATAAACTTCTGCCTGTTGGAGAGAATGTTGAGGGAGTAATAGGGAATCTGAGGGAACTGCGGGCGGATGGAGCAGCCTGAGCAGGAGCGCCGGGCAGGGAGCGCAGGTGTTGCTGGGGAGATGGAGTGCACCCCTTTGTAGGGGAGTCTTCCACAAGGGGGTGCTCAGAAAAGGAATACCTTCAATATTAGGAGATTGGACTGGATTCTTTAGGCAGTGGGAGCCATTGAAGGTTTTGGAGCAGGAGAGGGACATGCTCGGAGCCTGGGGCGGGCTTTCTGCTTGGTCACCCTGAAAGCAGGACACAGGTGCAACTGTCAGGGAGGTGGAGGTGGGGGAGCGGGTGTGGCTCAGTGGATCCTCGAAGACTTTCACTGGGCCCGGAGGGCACCCAGGCCCCCGGGTCTTCATGGGCCCGTTTCTTCTTGCCGAGGAAGCCTGCAGGCTGGTGTGGCCAGTTGCTCACCAGAAGCCCAGGGAACGTGTTCATATGCCTGGATTGCCGCCCCCTCACAGGTTCTCCCCGGCCAGGCAACTCCAGGCCTTTGCTGTCCCGTGTGTCTGGAATCTCTTCCCAGACAGCTGCATCCAGGTGTTCACTGAGTCACCTTTTCAGGGAGGGCTCCCCTGACCACCAGCTGTAAAAGTGGTCCCCCACGGGGTGGGCGTCCTTTGCTTTCCTTGCTGGCACTCATCGCCATCTCGCTTAGTCCCGGTCACTCGTTCTCCTCATCTCTCACCTGTCTCCTCTCCTAGAGGTGAGGGGCTTCTCTTCCGTTTTTACTGTTTTGTTCTCTGCTCTAACCCAGTGCCTAGAACAGCATCTGGCTCTTGCAGACCCTCAGAAAATATTCACAGCGCGAGTGAGCGCAAGGCAGAGCCCCTCATCTCTCCCGGAGCCTTTGTCTGACCCGTGCGTTGGTTCTACGGGAGAGAATGGGGACCCTTGTCCCAAAGCCCAGCTCCCAGCCAGGGCCGCTGGCCAAGGGAGACTTCTTCCAGGCCCCCTCCCCCCATTGTACACATGGAGCAACTGAGACCCTGAGAGGGAACAGACTTGCCAAAGTTGAAGCCTAGTTAGTGGCAGAGAAGAAAGGGGAGCCCGTCACTCCCGCTCCAGCTGGTATTAGAGCCCTAATTGGCCCCTGGGGGAGGCCCCAGGCCAAGTGGAGGAGGTTAAGGATGATTATAAAGCCTTTTGGTGCCAGAAGATATTTTTGTGTTTCCAGGGAAATTGGAGGAAGCTGACAGGCCCCAGAATGCTTTATTTCTGGGTAATTCTGGCCTCCACTGTTTTAATTGCTTTCTCAGAGGAGATGCTGGGACCACACTCCGGACCTGGGAGGAGGTGAAGTTACACCAGCCTCAGCTAGGCCGGCCTGGCCTTGAGCTCCAAATGAGACCCCGTGGCCTCAGTTCCACAGCCCACGGACGTCCGTGGGGCTGCCCCACTCCGTCCTCAGCTCTAGTATTTCTGCAACTGCCTGGGACGCCCCTGTTGTCCTGGTGACCTGGCTCGCTCTTGAGTGTGGACCCAGGGGGCATCCAGAAATGCCCCCCGACACACACAGCATCTGTAAGGGGGCGGGTTCCCTCCCGTGAGGGTTCGGGAGTGGGGGCATCAGAGGAGGGAATTTTAGCCCACTGATGTTGAAACATCCCTCATCACCACACGTCTGCCCGGTCCGGTCTCTGCGAAACCCGGCTGCTTAAACAACACAGCGCTGCTGGGCCCGTTTAATCCAGCACTTCCCGGCCTCGCGCCACAAGGGAGAAGCAGCGAACCACCCGGCCCCCGCCCTCCCCTGCTGGAAATGCTGCTCCCTCATCAGGACTCTGGGTCGTGCTGTCCTAGGACCCCCCCACCCCTCCCCACAGGACACAGGGCAAAGGGAGGCACCAGCCGCATCTTCCTGGCTTTATAAATCTCCCTCTCTGTCTGATGAGGGGTTTCGCCCCTGCAGACGCCCTGAGAGGTTTAGCTCCTCAGGCAGAACACAGAGCTCACCTGGCTCAGGACTGAGGTGCTGAGATGCTGTTCGTCCTTTTCTAGCATCAGAATGTTCCTGCCAATGCATTTTGGGGGTCGAGTGGAGTGAGCCTGTTGGGGAGGGTCCGGGCCTCTTAATCTGGACCGCTACTTTCGTTTTGCTGTTTCTTAGACTCGTGAATCTCGTCCTTCCCCCACCCTGACCTGTTAACACATCCTGGTCCTGGGGGGCAGAGAGTGTCGACTGGGAGGGGGCACGAGGGAGCCTTCTGGAAACATCTGTATCAGCACAGCTAATAGAAATATGATGCAAACCACATATGCAATTTTAAGTTTTCTAGTCGCATTAAAAAAGAGATAGATGAAATTAATTTTAATAATGTTTTATTTAACCCAATATATCCAAAATATCATTGCAACACATAATCAATGTAAAATATTATGAATGAACTATTCTACAGCCTTTTGTTGACACCGAGTCTTGGAAATCCTGTGTGTATTTTGCACTGACAGCACCTCTCAATTCAGACAACTTACTTTTAAGAGCTCGATGCCGCCACATGGCTAGTGGCCACGGTACTGAATGGCACAGATCTCTGCTTTGATCTGGGTTACACGTGTGTAGACATATGTAAACATTTGTCTAGCTGTATAGGGAAGACTTGTGCATTTCGCTGTGTGTATGTTACACCTCATTTTAAAAGTTTTTAAAATACCCTCTTCAGGGCTCTCCTCTCAAATGCCCGCCACATCTCCCTGACTCCAGGCTGGGTTGGAATTAGCTGCTTCTGCTACACTGTGTTTCCGTTACAGTTGTTCCAGTCTTGTGCGACAGCTGGTTGTTTCTGTGTGCGTCCGACCCAGTTTATTATCAGCGCCTTACAGTGAAGACCACGGCTTGTTCATTCTTTAATTCCCCAAAGGGCCACTGGCTTCATAGATGCAAAATAAATAAGACGGTTGAGTTGAATGCCCGTTCGTCATACCCCCTCTCTGGGTTGGATGGGCTGCTCATTTGGTTCTCTTCTCAGTCCTCTTCCAGATGTCGGCAAAGGAGAGGGCGAGGAGGAGGAGGAGGAAGACGGCGGGCCGCCTTGTCCGCCAGCCGCCCCGAAGAACTGCCTTCCTCGCCGAGGCATCAGCGTCCTGGAGAAGCTCATCAAAACGTGCCCGGTGTGGCTGCAGCTGGGGCTGGGCCGGGCGGAGGCGGCCAGGATCCTGCACCAGGAGGTGGCCGGGGTGAGTCGGGGCCTCTGCCCTTGGTGGCCGGCAGACAGGCACGGCCATCGGGAGCCACGGGCTCTCTGGACAGCGGCCTGTTTCCTTTCTTTTCTTAGGTTTATCCGATTTTCAAACCAGGTGTTTTTTCCAGAACTCAGGAGCGAGGGGCAGGGCGGGGGGGGCCGGGGGGGGGAGGGCTGGTTTCCGTTTGGGAGAGCAGGTGTCCCCGCTGGAGAGCACGAGAATGTGTGGCTGGTGGGGGGCTGTCCCGGCCTCTGGGTGCCTGAGAGGCAAGATGGACTGTTCCAGAACCCAGCCAGGCATCGGGGACTAGAGGGTATCAGGAGGGAGCTGAGAAACCGTTTTACGTAGAAATGAAGGAGCCCTGTAATGGAGTCAAAAGATTTGGGGGAGTCAAGCTCTGTGAGTTGAGCAAGTGGCTTCAATATTCTGAGCACCTTTCTCCCTTTGAAATGGGACCATTCATAGGACTTTCCTCCTGTCGTGTAGGCATTGCAGGGGAGATCAACAGGTAGATAATGAAGTCTGAGTCACAGCCATCAAAGGCCACCCACCAACCCCCCAACGCGTTTTCTCTTACGTGCTGCTTCCTTTTTAAAAAACATTTAATTTAACTGTAGAAGCAGTACACAAAGATGTTCACTGTAAAAAAAAAAAAATCAAGCAGGACAGAAGTGATAAAGTAAAAAGTCAAGTATCTTATAAAGGTCTTTGCCACCTACTCTTTTTCGCCTAACCTGCTTCCCAGAAGTCTATTCAGTTTTTGCTTTTTTTGTTCAGGTGAAATTCGCAGGACACCAAATGAGCCATTTGCAAGAGCACAGTTTAGTCCGCTCGGAGTGGTGTGTAACCGCCAACTCCGTGCGGTTCCAAAACGCTTCATCAGCCCAAGAGAAAGCCCCGTGGAAGCAGTGACTCCCCACCTGGCCTGCCCCTGGCCACTGGCCCCCGCCGGTCTGCTTCCGGAAGTCATTTTTGCTAGAAGTGCACAGTGTATCCTTCTCATCCTTCTCCTGCAGAGTGCCGCATCCATAACAGCTGGCACTCGTCTGAGTCCTTCACCTGAATTAGCAGTCTAGCCTCCCAGCAGCCCCCTGGGGTGGGTATTACTGTTGTGCTCATTTTACGGAAGAGGTGACTGAGTGACAGAGAGGTTGAGTGACCTCCCCAAGGTAACACAGCGAGCAAGTGCCCGAGGTGGGGTTCAAACCCAGGCAGCCTGGTTCTCCTGTGCCGTTATCATACGTGCAGGTCTTATTTGACTCGGATGGAGCCGTGTCTCTCAGCCCATGGGCACTTTTGCTGTCCCTACCTTCGGTGTGGTGTGTGGTGCTGTGCCGTGGCTGGGGAATGGTCCAGGCTCGTAAACACGTGGGGTTCAGTGGGTTAGCAGACTCACTCACCTTGGACCAGAGAAAGTCCGTCAAGTCGGCACTTGTGCCTGAAAGTTGGAATTACTGGACCTTATGGGGCTTCCAGCAAAGTCCCAACCACCCCTTGCCACAGACGCCCCTGTCCCGGGGCATGGGGACCACATAGGCCTGAAGGCCCAGCAGAATCCCTCTGACACCAGGCGAGGCCTCCTCCAGGCATCAAGACAGGTGCCCGGTGGGCCAGCCCGGCCCCATCTCAGTGCCAGGGTTGGCCTGGGTGTCTGCGGATGGGCAGGGAGAGGAGTGGAGAGGACAGGCAGGGAGGCTGCAGTCCTCAAGGAAACAAGATCTGTTGTTTCGTTCCTCCCCACTGAAAGGTTTTCAGTTTTGAACTGACTGAGGGCTTCAGAGCAGATGATGAAACTGTAGACAGTAAAATCGGGGACTTGGGCCGGCAGGTGCTCCGGTCAGCTTCCCCAGGCTGCAGCCCCGCCCACTGTCCGCTCCTCTATTGGATCCTGAGGGGACCTGCTTGCCTCCCTTCCCAGGAGGATGCAGCTCAAACGCAGGCTTAAGTGCAAGGTTTTGATGCTAAGAGATGGCCATTTCCTGGACCTTTCTTGGTCATCCGGCATGTGTGTGGATGGGGGTGGACCAGACAGGAAGGACTCATCCTGGGAGAAGACAAGTGGACCTCCAGGGCCAGCTGGGCCGGGCGTAAGTCGTGACCGCTTTATCAAAGGGTTCAGTCTTCTCTTCACAAAGTTTAAGATAAGTGTGGAGAATGCTTATCACTAGCAGGCCCTGTCCTGGCCTTAATACCAAGTACTGCGTGTCATCTCGTTTAACCCCGTGATAATCCTGTGGGGTGGACTCTGCTATTCTCCCCATTTTACAGATAACGGAACTGAGGCTCAGAGGAATGCCCTAGTCCGGGCTTCCCCAGAAGCAGACCCCGGGACAAGGATTTAGGTACAAGTGGTTTATTTGGGAGGTGACCCCAGGGAGCACCAAAAGGTGCTCATGGAAGACAGGTGATCGTGCATGTCACCCTGGGGGCAGGTGGCGCTGGATCCTGCTGGGGCACTCATCTCAAGTCATCTCACTGAGGGATGAGGGAGCCTGTGTTATCTACCACATCCTGATAGCCATTGGTTATAGACTGTGGGGTGTGAGCACTCATGTTCCAGCACCTCTTCTCTGCCCTGAGTATGAGATTATCTGATTCTGACCAGAAACAGCCCGTGGACAAAGAGATGCCGAGCGGTGGGGTAATCTGGGCAGACTTCCTGGAGGAGGCAGATGCTGAGCTGGGTCATGCAGGATGGATGGGCAGGATTGGGATGAGGGAGCTGAGAGGGTCTGTTGGAGAGTAGGGGGGTGATAGAACAGCACAGGCCGAGCCCCAGAGCGGGGCATGAGCTGGGCTGGGGCACACTGGGATGGAGGGCAGCATGCCTGGAGGGATTGGAGCCACTGGAGTTGCTGGAGGACAGGACCACCCAGCATTGATCTACCTGTGACACCAGCCTCGGGCTCAGGCCTGGGCCCGGAGTAGATCTGGCTCTGATTGCTCATTGGAACAAATGAATGAAGGTTGGCCGGGAGGGCGCGGCTGGTCTGGGGAGCTGACGAAGCTGGGCCGGGTGGCCTGGGGCCTGCCAGCAACAAGAGGCAGGGCTGCGTGGCTGTGTTCACTTTCCAGGTGAGCACACGTTAAAGCCGGGCTTCAAGCCCTAACCCGAGCCTCAGCCGCTGCAAGGGGCCCAGAGAGCCCTTCACCCCGGGCAGGGGAGGTGCCCAGGCTGCTCTTCTCCAGTCGGGGGGCTGAGTATAGAAACGAGCCAGCTCCAGGAGGTTCTGAAGGGACGCCTGTGTCCAGAGCCTTGAATGGGATCCCGAGAGTGAGACCACAGGCTGCTGTTAAGACCCGAGGAGACTGCGCTGCAGGCCGTCAGTGAGCCCCTTCCACTGCTGCCCACTTGCCGTGCCCTTGGAGGCCGCAGGGGCTCGGTCAGCCCTGAGGACAGCAGAACTGGAGCAGACGCGCCTTCTCCTGTCTTCCCTGCCCTCCGCCCTTACACCCTGCTCTGCCCGGCCCCGGGAGCTTCTGTATTTTCCAGCAGAAGCAAAGCTCATGCTCTGATAAAAAAGATTGGCCAACTTTCGCCCAGAGTTGCTCTTTGCACCATCTTGTTGATCCTCACAGTGATTTCTGCCAGGTAGGTGGTGTTATTAGTGTCCCCATTTCCAGATGAGGAAACAAAGGCACAGAGAAGTTAATTTACTTGCCTGCCGTCACACAGCTAGTAAGAGCAGAGTCTGCACGGGGTGATCTTCAGGGATGTTAGGAAGGCCCTTTGATGCAGAATATCATCCCACAGAACTGTCCAAAATTCAACCACTGATGGCCTCAGTGTTTTTAAAGATACAGATGTTACGTGTGACCCCCAGGCTGTGAGAGCTCAAAGGGTCTTCAGAGATCACCGGGACCCACGCCTCCTGATAAGGAGGATGCTTCCTCGTGTCCGGGGCGGGTGGTCAGGAGACTGGGGATCCGGCCCTTTCGTCCCAAGTATCTGTGTGACCTTGACCACGTCCCACCCGCTCCGCCACTCGCTGCAGCCTGCTTCTCTGATAAGGTGTTGGAAACATGTTGACCCATTTTTGATTTGTGTGTATCCAGAAACGGGGCAATGAAAAAGCCGTCTTTATTCATTCTGCACCCAAACGGCGTTTTTTAAAAATTTCATTTTAGAAGTTACAGATTTACAGAAACGTTGCAAAGATAGTACAGGGCGTTCCCACGTCCTCCTCACCCAGGTTCTCCTATTGTTAACATGTAACACCAGTGTGGTACGTTTGTCACAGTTAATGAACCAATATTGATACATTAATATCAACTAAAGCCAGCGGTTTGTTCCGATTTCCTCAGCTTTCACCTCATGTCCTGTTCCTGTCCCCCATCCAGGGGACCGCGTCACGTGTGGTCGTCATGCCTCTTTATCCTCCTCCTGGCAGTGACAGTTTCGCAGACTTTCTTTGTTTTTAACGACCTTGCCGGTTGTGCGGTGTCCTGGTCAGGTATTTTGTAGGATACCCCTCAGTGGGGTTTTTTCGGGTGGTGAGACTGGGGTCGTGGGTTTGGGGGAGGAAGGCCGAGGGTAAAGTGCCATTCTCATCGCACCACGTCAAAGGTACATGCTGTCAACACGACTTAGCGCTGTGGCGTTGACCTTGATCACCTGGCTGAGGGTGCGCTTGTCAGGGTTCACCCCCGCAAGGTTACTCCCTCCTCCCCCTTCCGCACTGTCCTCCTTGGAAGCAAGTCAGTCTGCACAGCCCAGCCCTGGGGAGTGGGGGGCTGTGCTCCACCTCCTTGTTTGAGTGTCTGTGTAAATTATTGGCACTTCTTCTGCACAAGAGTTCTCACTCTTCTCCCCCATTTACTTATTTATTCAATCACTCGTTTATATCGCTATAGACTCATGGATATTTATTTTCTGCCTTGCTTCTGGTCCAATGCTAGCACAATTAATTTCTTCAATTATTCCACCTTGGGCCATCGGGAGCTCTTTCAGCTGGTTCTGGTGTCCCTTGGACACACTCCCATCACTGTATGTG